CAGTCTCAAGTCAAACATCACTCGATCAGCCCTCGAGTAAATTAAAGTTAGAACAGTCTAAGTTTCTAATGTTTTAAAGGGGCACAATCTGAATGATAGAAAGAGAGACACACTTCACCCCCCACCCACCACACACACACGCTTCCCCCCCCCCCACCCAAATGGACTGGCGAATGAATCAGGGTAGAAAGCGCTCATCGCCAAAGGTGAATTTTGTGTCATGGAAAATTTTGGAATGACATATCAGTATGTGCATCAGAGACACTTCTCCAACGATCGTTTCTATTTCTGTCCATAGGTGGCTACAATGTGAACTTTTGACTTCGCAGCTGAGGATGGGAGCACAATAAACTAAGCATTGAAAAGAAACTGAGTTTGCACACCTTATTTTAGTCTAGTTCATATGTAATTTTATTTTCTCCATTTAATTACTATATACAATTGATGTTCATGTCTTTGAAGCTGTGTAAAACCATCAAATACATTCTTCTTCTTACTATTTTAAATGCTTAAAACAAATAAATTTTAAAAAATAATAAGAGAAGAATGTTTGCTTTGATGTGACTCATTGTTATCAACATCACTTTTCCGGTTGCTTAAAATTTGTATCATTTTAATTTTCTGTAATCCCAAATTTATTTCAGCTCTTCTTAAAAGCCCAAACTCTCCAGAGCACACCACGCCGATTGGGAAAAAATCTCTTGAATCCTCTTTTAATTACACATTTGCATTTTCGAGTTGTCTTTTTTTTAAAATAAAATTGTAATTAGACGTTTTGTATTAGATCTATGTATAAGTAAACCATCTTAAATGAATGAAAGTGGGCTACAAATAAGAAAGAAGTATTAATGTTGTAGAATGTAATACTAAAGCGAAAATGCAAGGCAAACTGACGCTGTAAATTACATGTCTGAGACGAAATAAAAATCAACTAATCTCTAATTAATTAAGCAATCAAATTCTAAAATGTTTTTTTTTTGCCACATAAATATCAATATTTTCTAAAGTATTGTAGTAAACTTAATGTATAAACGTAGTTTTGTAGATGGTATAATGCTAAAATGCATATAGAATGGTTCAGTCTTGTATGACAAAGGGTTCGAAAGCCTTAGCGATTTGAATGTTGAATTTTTAGTAAAAATTTAAAGTTGAGAAAATTTGAAAAGAAAGGCAGAAAAAGACACTGTGCGTTTCCTCTTATAGAAAACAGAAAAGGACTTCTTTTAATGTGTGGATAAACCATATGGCTAATAAAATACGCGTTGATTTATGTTGTAAGTTTTAGACAGATTTTTCGGTGTAAGCAGAAAATATGTATACAATAGGTAATTTATTAATGACCATTAAGTCTTACACATCCTATCATTCGATTGTTATTCTCAGAACAACTATTATCAAACCACATTAAGTTTTGTTTGTTAGCCGGTCTTCTCACTTCAATACAATGTCTATTCCTACTTAAATTGTAGCTTACACAAGTTTATTGCCTTATGATAATAGCCTACTACACAACACTGGGTACAACGCTTGTGGCTAGACACGCCCCTCCAATCCACCACACCGCGTGAAGAACCGATGAGCCATAGATTACCAATGTTCATTCAACCGTGAATAACACATCTGTGTAGATAGGGTCAAGTAAAGGGCCTAAATGAATGCTTATCAGCTATCCCATCTAGTATTTACATTCGTTGCTAGAAAACCCTTTGAGGAGAGATGGACATAAACATTAACACATGTGTCGTATACATTCCAATGTAAAGCCTGACAAACGTGTTCAAGCCTATCACACCATGCTGTAACAAGATTATAAACCGGCCGTTGGTTGAATGGCGAGAAGGGGATGATGGGGATAAAGGGGATGGACAGTACATTCTTCAAACTAACAGACATGTCCATGTCGCATTGTTTCAGCTTAGTATAAAGCTTACGGAACAGTATTTAATAGTGTTCAAGTGACAATCAACAGTACATTTCTTGGCAAAGTTTCAATTATTAAACTTAATGTTGTTGTTTAACTTTAAAACAACAAATAGAAGAGTCTATGCAAATAAAGTAAACAAACAAAGACAGGCGATTGTTTTGTTTATCTAGAAACAAGATGGCTGCTTAGCACACGTGGTTAGTTGCAACCAATCGTAGATTATTTTGATTTACTGTACTATTGTATGATTGGTCAAGGGAGCCGGACGTTTTCCCGAAAGACACTTGCCCGAATGCCGTTTGCCCGAAGGCCGATTTCCCAAATGGACACTTGCCCGAATGCGACAAATGCCCGAATGGACACTTGCCCGAATGCCACTTGCCCGAAGGCCGTTTGCCCGAAAAATATTAATATTAGATAATAAATAATATTTCCAAATAGACATTTTTTAATCAATTTAAGTTTGAAATTTTGATTATAAACACATATCTAAGCATAAAACAAAGCTGTTTATATTTTTAAATTTAGCTTTTATTTTTTTTTTTCAAAACTGAGCAAGTGCAGTAAGAAAAACGTTATTCTTTAATTAATGTAAGCTGATGTTGGCGGCGGTGTTCTAACATTCTTTGATGAATGTTTTGAACACCTTGTTTAGCCGACGTGTTGCGGTGGTTATATAGCTTTTATGACACGGTATAGGCAGTGCGTCGTCTCGAAACATTGAACAGAAGCGCGTTTGTTTGTTTATCTTGTTATGCTTAACTTGTGAGGTGATCATTTAACAAAAGAATGAGGCGAGGTCTAGGTGGCAAATTTAAAAACTGAACGTAGTCAAATGAGTTTGATCTCCATTTAATGCACCTTGTTAAGACAGTGTGTTGAAGCGATTACTTAATAAAGAAAGCAAAAATCATTTTAAAATCCGGAGATGAATGAAAATTGTATTTTTGTCTAATTTTATATATGGAAGTATGTTTCTACACTTTTAAAATATCAAATACAAATTAATTTAAAATGTGTGCGTGGTAATATATAATATTTTTTTTCACTTTCTTTTTGCATAGATGTGTTTTGTTTACCAACATTTTAAATTTAAATTGATTACGAATGATTATTTAGTAATATATAATGTTAACATTTTTCGGGCAAACGGCCTTCGGGCAAGTGGCATTCGGGCATTTGTCGCATTCGGGCAAGTGTCCATTCGGGCATTTGTCCCATTCGGGCAAGTGTCCATTCGGGCATTTGTCGCATTCGGGCAAGGGTCCATTCGGGCATTTGTCGCATTCGGGCAAGTGTCCATTCGGGCGTTTGTCGCATTCGGGCAAGTGTCCATTCGGGCATTTGTCGCATTCGGGCAAGTGTCCATTCGGGAAATCGGCCTTCGGGCAAAAGGCATTCGGGCAAGTGTCTTTCGGGAATTTGTCGTAGACCCATTGGTCAAACGTATCAATGAATCTCTTCCCATTCATTATTTTTACGCGCATGCCCTTATATGGAGTTTAACATCAAATTTTACTTGATAGAAAACAACAATTATCCCACTTATTTGTAGAACAAAATAAAGGTCGCTACACCAGCGTGTACACGAGTGTTGGCCGATAGGTTGCCGTATACTTTATGTTGCCTCGTGGGCAACATAACACGCAACACAAACTCGAAGATAGCCGCTGTCCGCGTAGTAGTGTGAAAATTTGATGGGGGGTACCATGTTTTACATCGCAATAAACGGATTACCGTTGGTTGTAGCGGTTGGAAACGTTCAGGTTAGATAGTTAAATGGTGTTACTATTAGAATTAGTGTTAAACCCATACTGGTAGAAACAATTTTAAAATATCGAAACGTGTGGTGTCTGGCCTTAAATATACTCTTTAATAATAAATCCTACATAGCTATAAGCCTCAGCCATTTACCTAAAAAGTTCCAGGGAGAAATTAAAAGAATACTATCAGAATACCTGGGGACTATCGGCATTTTCGTGTAAGACGGATACGATCGAACATGAAATTAGACTGACATCAGGCACCCCTAATATATTACAACCTTATGAGGTACCTTTATATTACAAGGATCAGGTAAGAAAGGAAATAAAATAATTATTAAAAGCAGGTATTTTTGAAATTTCAGATTCTCCTTATGCTTCCTGGATTGTTGTAAAAAATAAATCAAAAGAAACAAAAACAAAAGGCTATGTTTTGACTATAGAGAATTAAATAAGGTAACAATACCAGATGACGAACCTATGCCTAGTTAGGAAGAGCTTTACATAAAAATATCTTAGGCTGGGATCTTTTCTAAGTTTTATTTGTCAAGAGGTTATTGGCAAATAGGCCTACCAATCAAGGAATCATCAAAACAGTATACAACTTGTATTACGACATTCAATAACCTCGACAATACGGCATACGTAGTTACGTAGATGATATCTGTTTTTTCTAAGACAACTGGTTAGACCATAAAAAGGAGTTGGAATCATTGTTCAAAATTTAAAAATACATGGATTGACAGCTAGACCAAGCAAAATTGAAATTGAACTGCATGATATACAATTCATTGGTCTTTTTTTTTTTGGACACCAGATTATAAAATATAAAGGGGAAGCCTTAAACCAAATTGTTACATTCGGCTTTCTAACTATTTTTGACTCGTTTGGGCCAGGTGTAACAATTAAAAAAAAACACAGTCCACAAAGTGAATTTGTAACATTGAAGTATAATTTTCATCAACTACAAGAAAAACATTGACACGAAGAAAAAACTGACGACTAGTTACACTGAGTTGACGCTACACCACACTGCCTACCCACTCCCTCGTTCACACACTTGTTTTTCACGCTCGCACACCACTTCCAGGGGGAGGCCACTCACACACACACACACTATCCGTGCCTACACACTTTTGTATAGACATCTACGTCACAAAATACTAGACCTCCAGATAACATAGACAAATAAAAGATGTTGAAGTTTATTTGGTTTATGTAACTGTTATAGGAAATTTATACCAGACTTTGTTAAACTTCTTCTGTGCTAGAAAGAGAAGAATATTTCTTTAGGCTAATTTCTTGTATCATACCTTCTGTTTGACTTGTCATTGAAATCATTCCTGGAATATTTTTGTCAAAAGGAACTTTATGAAAAATAGCAAACGTGATAGCAGTTAGCGATTTAAGTCCAGAGAAGGATTGATCAGCAATGTTTGGAACTTCATCTTCTATTATTACTAGTACCTTTAAGTTGGCCAAACCTGCAAAAATGCCATCCTGCAAGAGTTTCAGGCCATTATCAGTTAGCTCCAGATATATTAGTTGTTGTAGGTTAGTAAACAGATTAACTGGAAGCTCTGCAATGGCATTACTATATAGTATTAAACCCTGTAGTGAAAAACGTTGAGCCTGGAAATATTTCTCACACGTGTCCATACCAGCAAAGGTAGTTAGTGTCAATAGTTTCAAATGATTTAAACTGTCAAAAGCATCACAAATGATATTTACTCTTCCACGGCCAACTAATTTTAACATTTTGATATTAGATGGTACATGCGGCCAATTAGGAAAACAATCACATGACATTCCTTCACTACAATCTTTACCACTGCACTGATCTGGACAAGTCTCCTTGCTTTCTGTGCCGTTATATTTCCAAGTAAACTTAGAGTTCGAATGATTAAACACAGCGCTGTTCATTTTTTTATAAAAAATTGTATCGTCGATTCCAATAATAATGCATATATTCCATAAAATAAGTAACAAATGCGTCATAGTTATAGAATTGAACAATTTCATTTTCTTATGCAGTTTAAAAAAATCGTATATTTTCCTGATCAAGTTCTTTTTTAAGACTATTGTACTGCTGTCATGCACAATAAATAAAAACAAAAATACTATCTAAATTTTAAGAATAGCATGTGTTGTGTTGAGTAATGCTGAGTGTTGATGGAGATATAAAACTTGTGTTTCCTGTTAGTCATGTCGCGATCCGATAGCAGTCTAGCTGTAAAGTTGAGTGATGAGTTAGTTTATATAGAAGTGCTATGATCTATACTAAATATGTGGAGGGGGGGTCTATTCTAACTAATTCTAATTTTTTAAACGATTCACTAATTACTGATGTCATGTGAATACTCATTGAAACACAAATAAGCAGATGAAGGCCAACTATTGTTATACATCAGTGTAGTGTATATAGGTATCGGATATAGTCTAGTATCACTAAATAGTGTGCATCATTACATAAAACAAACTTGATCTAGCTGTTAGCTACTTTAATTAATGTAGTAGTTAGACATTTCATAATTTATATCCACTAAATTAATTAAACCGGTAACCAAAATGGACGTATTTAAATTTGCCGATAGTTTGCATGCACTAAATTATTCGAAAAACAAGTTACACACATGTAAAATTTGGGTCTACGACAAATTCCCGAAAGACACTTGCCCGAATTCCGTTTGCCCGAAGGCCGATTTCCCGAATGGACACTTGCCCGAATGCGACAAATGCCCGAATGGACACTTGCCCGAATGCGACAATCGCCCGAATGGACACTTGCCCGAATGCGACAAATGCCCGAATGGACACTTGCCCGAATGCGACAAATGCCCGAAAAACATTTGCCCGAAGGCCGTTTGCCCGAAAAATTTTAACATTGGAATAAATAATATTACCAAATAAACATTCTTAATCAATTCAACTTTGGAATTGCGATAATAAACACAATTCTAAGCATAACAACAAAGTTTTTTACATTATGTAGCTTTTTTTTTTTGAAAACTGAGAAATGGCTGTAAAAAAATCCCTTTCCTTTAATAAATATAAGGTGGTGTTGGCGGCGGTGTCTTTTGATGAATGTTTCGAACACCTTGTTTAGCCGACGTGTTGCGGTGGTTATCAGCGCTTATGACACGGTGTAGGCGGCGCGACGTCTCGCAACAGTGAACAGAAATGCTTTTGTTTGATTTATTTTGCTTTGTTTAACTTGTGTGGTGATTATTTCAAAAAGAATGAGGCGCGGTCTATGTGGCGAAATTAAAAAGTTAAGGGTAGTCAATTATGTTTTATCTCCAGTTAATGCACCTTGCTTAGACATTGTGTTGAGGCAATTACTTAATAAAGAATGCATACTTCATTTTAAAATCCTGAGATAAACGTAATGGTATTTTTGTCTTGTGTTGTTTCATAGATAGGAAATAAAATATATTTTTACACTTCTTTTTTGGCAAATACAAATTAATTAAGAATGTCTGCGTGATAATATATAAAATTCTTTTATTGTTTCCTTTTGTTTAGATATGTATTGTTTATCAAAATTTCAAATCTAAATTGATTACAAATGATTATTTGGTATTATATAATGTAAACATTTTTCGGGAAAATGGACTTCGGGCAAGTGATTAATGCACTAAAAACTAGAAATAAATGAATTTTTTAAAAATATATTATAACACTCTACTATTTAAATAACTATAAAGCAAACTGATAACAACACAAACACAAATCTAATTCAAACCTCTGCACTCAAACAGGAAGTTGCTAACACGATCACTTATAGATTTATAACATACAGTGTTGGATTTCGTTTCTGATTCTACTGAATTTCAGTCGTTTAATCAATACAATTTATCTATTTTTAGAAAATACAATTGTAACATAGAGTAAATGGTGGTCATAGAGCTTTCAGCTCTTTGTAGGGAATTAGTGAAGAAGTTGATATTTTTCATGCTGTGCTCTCAGAGAAGAGATTTAGTGAGGAAGTTGATATTTTTAACGCTGTGCTATCAGTCAAAGTAGTTTGTGTACATAAAATGGTTGATGTTTGTTGAATAAGGAATGATAACTCAGGTAAAACTATATCACGTGAGAAACACAGCTAACTTAAATTTTTATTTTCACATCTACAATTGATGTATTTATTATAGTAGGATTAAAATTTCAACGTATAATACTGCTAACTTAAGTAGTATCCAACCAGATTATCGCAATTAAAAAATGTTTTAAAACGAAAACGACATGTTCTATAATTTTATAATATCTATTTATAGCCTGCGCGGTTTTAATAGAAGTTCAGAGCGAAACAATATCACATGTTTGTAATGACGGCCCACGGGCAAAGTAAAGTAGAGTTAACCTGTTTCTCTAACGTCGGCACATGAGGGTACATTTTGGTCAGCACTACGTCCAGTCGCCTTTACTTTCCCTATCCCTAACATAAGGTGGGTGCCTATCAGAAACAGGATTCGAACTCGAAACATTTACCAGTTCAGAGCTCTATAGCTAAGCCACCCCGTCCACTAAAGAATATGTAAATCCTGCTAAACCTGTATCAGATAACAACGTGCCTTCTTTCTAGTTTGCACTGCTTTTCTTTTCATCCCGCATACTTCTTCTACAATACTTATTAATGGATACTTTCCAGCAGTAAAATATTTTATCTTGTATTGTTCTGAATACTTTTTACGATTAAAGTACATTCATCTTAACATAAAGGATATTTTTAAAATGGCACAACTCAATTAATTAATATTACAACAAGTAAATATACACCCTATAAAGATTTTGTAACTTTTTTAATGAGTCATTGTATTTTCCGTTTTGTTGCTAATTAAGTTTCTGCTTCACCTTTTGCTGATATCAGCTTACAACAATGTTTACACAAACGTGAACTCTATGATAGTACTAAAGAGGATTTATAGCGACACTTCCTATTGTGTGATTTTCCTTACATAATAATAGATTAAATTAAATTTATTTAAAACAAACACGGATTACACTAATTTGTTTTATAGTTTTTTTTTCGGGCAAACGGCCTTCGGGCAAGTGTTTTTCGGGCATTTGTCGCATTCGGGCAAGTGTCCATTACGACATTAGTCGCGTTCGGATAAGTGTCCAAAAAAACGGAATATAAAAAAGTAATATAAGTTATAGGAAATTTATGTTATGAGTATAAAGAAATCAAAGTGTTCCAATATATATAATATATATAAAAGTGGAAAGTTCAAAGGGAAATTGGTTAATAATATTTTTTTAAATAGTTAAATTATAAAAATACAAAAGAAATGTAAAGAGTCAGAAATGTTTTAGAAGTCGCCTTACTCCTTGTTCTCCCTAGGGAATTAAAACGTATCAGCTTTGAAAATAAGTTATTCACCCAAGATCAGGGTTGTTCTTAATCAAGGCATGCAGCCAAATAACAGGGTCATTCGTTACTATTTTGATAATTGCTAAATAGGTCGGTTATTTCCTACTTTTGTTAAAAGAGTTGTTGTTATGCTGTTTAAAAGCAGAGCACATTCCATTTTAATTATAATTGGGTTGCTTTTTTTTGTTATTTTTTGTACTTTACTCAATGATGGTAATGATAAAGTTATAGACCTTTGTGTTTTGAATATTGTAAATTAGCAGCGTTAAACTGTTTTTAAACTATGTTAGATTCTTTAAAATGTCTGAAATCATTTATTTAATAATTTTTAAAAAATTGAAGTAAACATTGTGTGACATATTTAATTAAGTCAAATTGAGTTGACTTAAGTTGATGAACAAAATAATCTAATCTGATAACAACTCAGATTAATTAGTTCTAGTCTCTTTTGAAATGTGAAAGTACCATGGATTTTATTTAAATTTAGTTGCGACATATGATGTTCTTTCAGACACAGTCGACGTGACATAAGAAAACTAAAATTCAATGTGAGTTATGTTTAAAGTTTTAGGTCTGTACATGCCCAGGGGTATTTAGGTTGTAAGACAAATCCAAAAAGTATAGGCGATATAATCCAGTTCCTTTAGGTTGATTATGTTTTCTTTATGTTTTCTTTCCTGAAGTATCTAAAAACTGTCAGACCTGTTTGACGTTCAAAATAATATATTAATTACAAAGACGAACCCTGATTAAACAGACAGCGAATGCAAATAAGACAGTAATTTTCTTTATTTATGGCGAAGAACCTGACTTAATTTAAAATATTGTAGTATCGACTTCAGTCCTTTTGTGAATTTTTTAAAATTTTATAAATGTACGCCTGTTTAAACAGAAAGCGAATGCAAATAAGACAGTAGGCTAATGTTTTTTTTAGTTATGGCAAAGAATCTGACTTAATTTAAAAATTACAGTCCTCATTTGAATTTTTTTTAAAATTTATAAATATTTAAATAAAAAAATATTAGGACGATTATTTCAAAAGAAGAGAAAAGGAAATATAAATGGTGTAGGTTCATAAAATCAAAATATGCTTTAAGTTACTGGAAAAAAGCTCTGTGGCCCTTTCATGTCCAGATTTTACACGGTTGTTCCCCTTAGTATGAAATTAATGTCTGTCAAATGCATTGTAGTACAACAAAGTAATAAGCAATCCATGTGCATTTGTTGGTTATTTGGTCTTTGCATATGTGAACTATTACTTTAGACTAATTTACTGATAGACTAATTTAATCATACCTTGTGTAGGGCCACTTAGCGAAATCATTCCTAAAGAATGTTTCTTAAATGCACATTTTAGTATTTCATAAAAGCTACATTCAAAATCGGTTAACAGCTCAAGTCCAGAAAAAGAATTATCAGAAAAATGTCGAATGAACCATTTATTCATTATTTATTATTTTAAGTTGGTCACGTGTCAATGTCTTGAAAGCCGTCAAGTCTAAAACAATTCTTGTTGATTTAAGTTGTTGAAAGCACGGCAAATGATAGT